GCGGCGGCGGCGGAGCGGGAGGACAATGCCAGCAGGCTGCGCGAGGCGACGGCTGGAGCTCCTCGCCGCGGCAGCCCCAGAGAGCGAGGAGGCGGCGGGCAGCGGAGGCGGCTGCTAATTGCGCGCCGGGCCGGGACGCGCGTGGCATGAGTTCCCGCGGAGCGTGCGCCCACCGCAGCGGCCCATCGCGCTCTACCCCGCAGCCTCGGCGGGGCAGGGGCTTCCTACTCGCCGCGCGCAGCCCGGCCCTCCCCGCCCGGGCGAGCATGCCCAGTGCGCCGCCGACCGCGCCCGCGTCGTCCGCAATCCGGGTTTTTCCGGGGCCGGGCGGGGCTGGGGGCGGAGACGCGAGTTGGGGAGCGGGGTGTGGTTGTAAGTGGTTGAAAAGTGTGTTTTAGGAGTAAGAGGACTTAGGAAAGCTTAGATGGCAGCACGGAAGCCACCGTCTCTCACGGCTCCGGAGCTCGCGCACAAGAGCGGCAGCGCTGCGAGGAGCGCGCGGGAGCGGCGAGGCGCCCCGGGGCTAGGCTGTTGGCAACTCCCACCATCCAGGGCCGGTGCAATCCCACGCCCGCGCGGGGAGTGTGGAGCTCGGCTGCCCATGTGAGGGCGGCGGCGATCATGCTGCTGCGGCGACCTCCTCCACCCGGCACAGCTCTCTCTGAACCGTTGGCCACAGAAACGTGACTCCCCGTTCTGGCTGACCCTTCCCGCAGTTCGTCCCCCGGACAAAGAGAACGAGAAGGCTGGGCCCGGGACGCCGTCCCGATGGGGAAGGGGTAGCCTCCCGTGACCCTCTCCGGGCTGGGACTTCGCTGATCCCACCCACCGCCTGCCCCACTCGGCTGCGGGCAAAACCCGGGGACTCAGGCCGAGCCCCGATCCATGAGTCACGGCGGCGCTCGCGGCCCGCCCGAGCATGCTCAGTCGGCAGAACAGGTTTTCGGGTTTGGAAGTAGGAAGCTTTTTGCACCCCACACCCACACTCCGGCTCGAATTGCTTCTCCCAGTCTCGCTTCCCTATTGGCTCCAGGGCGCACGTCTCACACCCCCGACTTTTGCGCCATTGGCTACCGCCAAGGCTTTATCAGTTTGGGATGCTTCATTGGGTAAAAAGTAGCCTCCCGCTGGTGATTGGGTATTTATAGCGCTTGAGTTGAGAGGCGGAGGCCCAGCTGTTCTTTCTCCGCTGCTCCCCCGCCCCCTTCCTCCCACTTCCCGAACCCAGTCGTTTGGAAGCTAAGCGTGAAAAAATAGGAGGAATTTAGGCGGAGAGCTCCGAACTAAATATAGTCCCTTGTGGTGTTTTAGAGAAAAGTGTGGCTTCTGGTGCCCACTCACGACTGTCCCTTCCAGGGAGCAGAAAGGGATGATTGAAGTTCTTGGTCCACAAGGAACAGGACACAAGTTTCAAAGTTGTTTGCAGGAAGGAGGAGGGGGCTGGGATGAAGAAATAGGCCGCTTTGAATTCGTTTCGCCCGGAGCGGGTGGGGGGGTTGCCCGGACTTGCCTTTTAAAAACGTCTTGGCTTTGGGGCGGGCAGTCGCTAGACTTGGCTGGGCTCACACTTCGGGGAGGTGCAGGGAGATGCCCCGGCTTGCTCCGAGTCTCCGTCGTTCCTGGCGGGCGAGAGATGTCAACGCCTGTTTGAAGGCGCAGCGATGGCAGCGTGAGCCCGAGGGCGAAGGGGGCGGGGAGCGGATGTAAACCGGGGCTGGCCCCGTGCCCTGCCGTTTTTATCCAGTGGCTCTTCTCACTGGTTTGTCCGTCGGCCCTGGAGGGTTGAACCAGGCGGTGTGCTTACACTTCTTTTCAGTTCCTAATCCCCCCCTCCTCCCCGTGACTCAGGGCCACGTTTGCGAGTTGACCTTCTGCAAATCCCTGGCTGTAGCTTGTATGCACGCACTTTGGACATGTGATCAGGAGGTACCAGTCTCGGGAGGAGGACATCGTGCTTGGTAAGGTAGAGGGTCAGCGAAAAGAGGAAGACCCTCAAGAGGTGGAGTGCCACAGTGGCTGCAACAATGGGCTCAGGCAGAACCACAATTGTGAGGATGGCGCAGGACCGGGCAGTGTTTCTTTCTGTTGTGCATGGGTGGCCAGGGGTTGGAACCGAGTCGATGGCACCTAACAACAACAGCTTGTCTGCATCGCGCAGTCTTCGGGCACAGGCCAGGCAGGACGTGGGCAGCAGCGGGCGCCTTGGGTGGGGGGTACCGGTGCCCGTTCCCACCCCCGGCTCTGCAGTTCCGTGGATAGGAGAGCTGAACCTTGACTATTTCGAAGTGCTTAGATATAATTATGCTTATATAATTCTCCAGAAAAACCTCTGTGATGAAAATTCGACTAATACAGTCTGAAAGAACCCACCCCCTACAACATTTATCCAGCTATTAATGTCTGCCGAGCTTTTTACATGTGCAATCTCATTTACTTTTTATAATAATGATTACCCGTTTTAAGGATGAGGAAACTGAGGCGCTCAGATGTTCAGTAACTTGCCTGAGGTTTCACAACTAGTGAGTGGCTGAGCTAGGATTCTAACCATCTGTTTGGCTAGACAGCCAAGTCTCTAACCACTGGACAGTACTGCCTTCTCACAAGAAAGTTTCTGGATTTTCTTCTTTCTTAGGCTGAGCCTAGAGGTAGTGTAGTCAGACCAACCCCTAAAAGCGAACAAGAGGGGCCTCTTCCCGGGGCCACGCTCTGGCCCTCATCTGGCTGTCCCCCTCCTTACATGGCAATGATGGCCCATTTGGGAACTGCTTCCAAAGCACACTCCAGGTAGCTGTGAACGCTGGAATCCCGTGAACAAATGGTGCCAAACCACGTCTGGGGCTGCTTGGGCCTCTGTACTGACCCCATGTGCCTAAGGAATAGCTGTTGGTTGGGGTGTGAGGCGGCCTTGGACCCATGGGCTGGGATGTACCTTCACAGGCACTCTGGGGCCTTCTAGTGCAGGCCGGGGGGTCAGCAGGGGTCAGGTTTCCCTTCCGTGACCTTCCCACCTTCCAGAGTGGACATAGGCAGAGTCCAGGAGTTCTTAATTCACGCCTGGCCTTCTCGTCTTTGTGTAGGGTGCTTGTCAAGGTGAGAGAATAGAGCATATTTTGTTTAACAGTTTGTTAGCTTGATTTATAACTTAAATGCTTAGAGTAATGTTATGTGGGCCTCCGTTTGTACTCTTGCCCACAGATGGGAGGCGTGGTTCTGAGCTTGATAATATAGTAGAAAATGCTTTGTCCTTAGAGGCCTGATGTCTGATCTCGAGTTTTGGATGTGAATTATAATCTCTAGGGCCTTGGGCAAGTCCCTTAAGCTCTCCTGACCTTAGTTTCCCTGTGTATAAAATAGCAATAATAAAATTTGCCCCACCCACCTAGCTATACAGTAACCGTGGAGAGGATCCAGTGACCATACCCCTCATTTACAGCAGAGAGAACTGAGATCTAGGTAGATCAGGTGAACAGGCAAATTAGGTGGAGAGCCAGAACTGGAACCCTGGTGTTCCAAATGCCTTTTCCATGGAGTCAGGCCATCCTCAGAGATGATAACCAATGAGATAAGGGACGGAAACGTGTTTTCAAAGCTGTGTTGTTGTTATTTGCCATTGAGTTGTTGGTGGGTGCCCTCAAGTCGATTCTGACTCATAGTAGCCAACTCTGTAGGACAGTAGAACTGCCCCACAGGGTTTCTAAGGAGCGACTGGTGGATTTGAACTGCTGACCTTTTTGGTTAGCAGCCTGAGCTTTTAAGCACTTCACCACCAGGGCTCTATCGAGTGGAGCCCCATAAATGCATGGCAGTTACTCCCAGCACTCAGGGAGCCTTACAGCCCCGTCTGGAAGAGACCATCCCCAAAGCACTGGTGGCCACGTGGATGGATATTACTGAACCTTGGTGGCATTTCTGGTACCAGGACAAGGCCACAGTTTGAGTAAACAATATGATCCATGCCTTAGAATTTCTAGTAGGGATCCTTCAGTAGTAATTTTTATTACACTCAGGTGGTCTCCCACAGAAAGTTTTGTGCTGAAACTCTGAGATTCAAAATGAAGCATGAAAATTGCTGATTCACAGATTTTTAAGGTTGGTCACTTCCTCCTGTGAAATGCGTTAGGAGTTGGATGCCCTTTTACGGCACCAGTCATTGTCCACCCTGTACCATAGACACGATTATGTCTTGGCACTCTGCGCACTGTGTGAATTCCCTGAGGTCAAGGTCCATGGCCAGTTTGTCTTTGGAGCTGCCTTTGTTCCTCATACCAAAAAAAGCACACCCACTGCCATCTAGTTGATTCCGACTCATAGTGACCCCATAGGACAGAGCAGAACTGCCCCATAGGGTTTCCAAGGCTGTAAATCTTTAGGGAAGCAGACTGTCACATCTTTCTCCCGAGGAGCGGCTGGTGGGTTTGAACTGCTGACCTCTCGGTTAGCAGCCAAGTGCTCTTAACCACTGCACCACCAGGGCTCATAGTCGCTCCTCACACCACCTACGGATTTACAGTGCCATACAGAGGAGGTCCTCAACTAAATACTTATTGATGGCTACATGGATGGTGTTTTCTTCCTTTTCCAAGCTCCACTTGTGGTAAAAGACTTCATTAACCATATTAATCCTTGGCAAAACATAACATTTCCTGGATCTTTAGAAAAATGTGTACCAGTGCTTCAGTCTCCCAGATTCATGAAGATGCTGGAGGGACCACAGTTTATTCTTGTTTGGGTGAAAACACTAAATTAGTGTTATCTGGGGAAAGACAGCAAAGCACCCAATGAAGAAGCCCTTTTGCTAAGGAAGACTTAACACCCACAGTAATATGAAAAGGCCTTTCTGGAAGACAGTGGAAAAT